ATTTTAATCTAAAGTACATAAAAATTTAAAACGAACCGCTTGACCGCTTAACGTGTGAACGTTATTGCGTATATATTCATGCCGTTACCAAATTCGCGAGGGTATAAACGGCATGAATATATGTATATACGTAATGATGTTCACAAATCAAGCGGCCTGTTTTATATTTTTAAACACTTTTAATTTAAAAGTAACTTATTAAAGTATTAAAGTAACTACCCAGATAGCACAATTTCGTTCTAGGAATCTTCTATAAATATTTTTTGAGAATTTTGGAATATTCTCAAAAGAAGCGTATAAAATGAAAAGAACCTTCTAAAAATATTCATAGCATGATAAATTGGGACTATTTTCTGAATTCCAGAAAAATCCACAGAATGTTCCACTAAATCATCATAGAGTGTTCTAAGAATTTATAGGAATGTTATTACAGAATCTTCTAAGAATATAATAGGAATATCTATATCAGTGCTGGAATTTACTTGAAATTTTTAGCCGATTTTCAGCTTGATTTCCACACCTTTCTTCACCAATTCGCACGCATTCATTGCCGGTCGACATTTAGCTGTGTGCAGGTTGATGAAGTAAAGGAGCGAGTACCAAACTGAAAATCGGCCGAAAGTTGGAAGTAAATTCCCGCACTGGTCCATATATATATATATATATGAATAGAAAATTCTGTTAGATAGACTTCTTCCACATAGAAAATTCTTCTTCGTGTCCTCTGGATTTATGTTTTACTTCAGTGGATTAAATTATCATGATTTCTTGGACGAATGTGAAATTATAACTGTCTCCTTGAGGACAAAGATGGCGGAAAACATACAAGATCGAGACGCGTGGTCACGTAACTGGTCACATGACTATGAGGAAGAATTTACTCTGATTAATCACAGATCGCAGCACAGGCGTACAGTGTCCTCTGCTGAAAAGAATATTCCTAGAACATTCAAAATGTTCAATTAAATTTTGAATGTTTTAGGAATATTTTATAAATATTCAATATGAATATTCTCGGAAAAGAATATTGATACGGACATGGAATATTCATAGAATTTTGTGTGCTATCTGGGTATACAGTGAAATGTCGACACATAATACAGTGCTAATGAAACTATAGATAAATAAGTCGGTAAATGACAGCAATAAACGAGTGTCATCTACCATCGAAAATATGAAAAGGAGATGACTTTTTGAGGCGACTATCTTACATAAAATTTTGACATTTCGGATTTCGCATCGCGATATCTCCGTTCGTGGGACACGTAAAGGTAAAATAAACGTTTATTATATAATTCGGACCCAGCTGTCGATGGAGCTCATATTCAGAACTCGATCGGTCTAGCCTTTATTTAAAAAACCGAGAATTTCGGATGCTCGGATGCCCGCAACTCGCTGACTCGCGTAAAGACACGCGTGTCTCGCGCTGCACGCCCACTTGGCCCGAGACACTACCGTTATGTCTTGTAATTTTACAATTAAAAAATAAAAATATTGGATTGTACTGTGTATTTTCATTTATTAATTGTCTATGAGACATTCGAAGTAAGTGAATAGGACCATTGGATATACTTATATACTGTATTTCGTCTAGACAGATGTCCACTGGACGTCCAAAGGACATCCTTTTAGTCCGACAATGGCTTCCTCAAGATATCCGTATTCGTCCATTGGATGTCTTTATAGGATGTCCTATGAACGTACTTCGGCCGGACATTGGGATATAATCTGTACATCCCATGAACAGGTGATGGACGAATATCGACATACCACTGATATTCGTATCGGACCAATCGGACATACTTCGGACGTCCATTGGATGTCCATGTGCTATGTGGAGATAAACTCAATCATTTTAAATGAAAAAATTAAATTATTACAAATAAAATGACACTTAAATAAATTTTGCGGTCGGATAATTAAATTTTATTTTAAAAATAAATAAATAAGTATAATGAAACTAAAAGATATTCCATAATAAATTTCAATAATAAACTATGTGCAATAGACATCATATATATGTACATATTTGATAATTGGAAAAGAGGGATTAAAAACTTTTTTAATTTTAATTAATTTTAAATTTTATCTAATTAATACCATCCCGTTCCAATTATCAAATATAAAAATAAACTAAATTATATATAATTTTAAATTTCATTAAATTTTCAGCTCCCCTGAAAAAAACTAAAAATTTCTTATAAAATTCTATACATATACAAAATGTACAACTCGTAATCAAAAGGTGGAACAAGCGGCCCCAAGAGACACAAATTAATACAAGAGTCATCTTGTCCTTGTTCGATAATCAGTAAGAAGCAAAGAATGACTTTTGTGTTGATTTGTACCTTTGCTGGAAAACTCTTTTTAAATGCCCAGATCATGCCTTTAATAGTATTTTGTCGGTGATGAAGATTTCGATGATTTCAGCGATTTATTTTCATCAGAAACATCGCAAAAAAATGGATATTGATGTGTAGTTGACATCCATTTCTTCAGAGGGCAGTAGTGCGCGGAGCACTTTGCGATTACAGGAATCTAGGCGTCCTTAGGTTTTTCTCTGCGATACTACAATTAAATGTGAAATAAATTTTGAAGTTGGATTCGTAGAACTGTTCGTAGAAGTCTTTTTCATATTACTTTTATTGCAAATTAAACATTGACAATGCAAATTAGCAGGAATAACGTGAATTAAGTTTCATCGAGCGGATTGAAGATGTTTTTATCGGTCTCAATGTATTCTAATTTATCGACAGTCAGATACTCAAAATGTCAGAGTCAGACAGTGAGACCAAGTGAGACAGTCGAATCCTAACCTCTTCACGTTTTATAAACGTCAATTAGTGTTTATTTTCGCAGACATCATTATTTATCAGGTATTTATTTTTGTTTTGTACTATTTTTGCAAATAAATATTGTTATAATGATGTAATTTAACAGATTATCCCATAGAATGATTCACGAAACAATTAGATATTTTACCAACAGTTGTGTTTTATAGGTTATAATTTACAATTAAAAAGAAAAGAAATTAGAGAATAGCATAAACATTGTTAATATAAGAAATTGGCATAGCATATATAATAGACAAAGAATGATCTTATAGGAATATAAAATAATCCTCAGTCTTATATATCTTATTTTTATATGTGTAGCTAATATTATATTCAGACGATATATGATAGGCTTTTGCCAATTGTTTAATTTATTAATTCACAAACGATCTAAAGCATCTAAATCGCATTAATTACAACAATAAGCTAAAAAGTTAAATAAGCGATATTACAAAATCTCTTCACTCTTTAACCTATTCTCGTAGAATAGAACGTGGAGAACATTTTACATATTTACGTATTCTAGTTCTAACTCCTATAATATATATATTTATTTCATTTTCTTAATATAGTTTACAAATTACATTTTTATAATTTACAGTTGAAAGTTATTTTCTCTATGCATCTTTTGTATAGATATATTTCGAATTCGTTGCTTATACATGTATAATAAATAAGTTACCAAATTGAAATACAATAAATTATACAAATACGGATTTAATTGCTATTTATATATGGAAAAAAAAAGATGTTGCACTAATAACATTAATTAACAGCAGTCTAATTGAAAAAATAATTTTGTTAATTTAGTAATAATATTAATGCTCCTATTTACTCACCACTCCTGTTTACTCATCACCCATCGCAGAAGACACTCTATAAAAATTCTTGCAAATTATAAGTCTATTTTTTATTGATGAATTCTTTGAACTGGTGCACACCAAAGCAATAAATTCAGACAGTTCTTCGATAAAAAATAAGTCATATATTTGAATAGAAATGTTTTTTAGTAAAATAACATTTGCAAACGATAGAATAAATTTATAAAGTATGCCGGAAATTATTAATTTATATTTATTTCTGTATTATTAAAATAACAGTTTATTATAGCTCATTTCGTTTGTAATTATGCATAATACGGTAAAAAATTTTTCATGCATGAATATATATAAATATGTATAAACATGCATAAACATGCATAAATATTCATAAACATGTATAATCATATATGAAATATGTCCTACATGTTCATACATCCCTCTTTCTTTTGTAAAATTACTTTTTAGTGTAATAAAAATAATAATAGTAATGTGAAAATACTAAAAATAATTAAAAGGCTAAATTTTCATATTATTTGTTTTAGAAAAAAATCAAATTCAAATCAAATCATTTGAAAAAATGTAAAAAATTACTTGTGTATAATTATATATAAAATTATATATAATTGTGTATGAAAAATTTTTTTTTACATTTTTCCAAACTTGTTTTTTTCTGAAAGGAACAATGAGAAAATTGTCCCTTTAATTATTTCTATGTTTTCACATTACTATTATTATTTCTATTACGCTAAAAAGTAATTTTACAAAAGAAAAAGGGATGTATGAACATGTATGGACATATTTCGTATATGATTATACATATTTATGAATATTTATTTATGTTTATACATATTTACACATTCATATTTACACATTACATGAAAAACTTTTTACCGGAATTTATTTCCAGAGAGAGATATATGGTTATTTATTAACAAAACAAGTGGAGAACTTTCGGTATATTTTACAAATTGGTTCTAGCAACTGTAAGTGTTGTTTTACTGAAATATATTTCTATATTATAATATATTTTATTATAAATTTTCTCGCTTCTGACAACATAATTTCAGGTAGTAATGGCGAACGAATAGGAGCTTTAATGAAACAAATTTATGATGTTTTTATTTTAATAAATGTCGTTTGTTTTATTAATACTGTTATCGAAATATTTTTAATTATATTGTCAGCTAATGCTGTTAATATAACATTATTTTTTACCATATATATCGATTTTTTAAGTTTTTTGTAAATTTTGTGAAATGATAGTACCTGCAAGTTTTATTACTATATAATCGATTTTGATAAGTAATAATTTTTAAACACTATTTTTATTTCCGGATATATTTCGCAATAATCATTGCATGCTTTAGTATACTAATTGAGAAAAAATGATTGCTATATTTTCGTCACAATTAAAAGCAAGTCAAATCTCAAATCAGTCGAATAAATTGGGCAGATATTTCCAACTTCTTGTTCTTTTCATTGGAGCGCTAGCAATTATGTCTTGATGTATAAAGCTAACAGTTATATCTTGCCGAACATATCTTTTATGGCTTATTGCCTCGTATCTGTTTCGAACAAAACATTCTTTTGATTTTGGTTCATTCGTTTTCCTCTGACCACGTAGTACGGATCATATGCAGCCAAGATTTCATCGACCGTACCGCGTCGGTCTCTCGGTGACAGTCGCTGGTTTGACAATTCATTCGCTTTAATGTTGAAGTTATCGTTGTTGCATCTAGATATCTCCGTCAATAGCGTTCTTAGACTCTCCGCAATCGGGCTTATCATTTTAGCGCGATTCTCGTCATTCATATTTCGTGGATTTGACGAGAAAAGATCCTCCATCCCGAAATCTTGCGACGTTTTTTTACCTCGGGAAATAATATAAGGCTCGCTTTGACTTAGATGTTCTAAAATATCACTGTGCTTGTCTCTTCGCTCTAAAGACAGTTGAATTTTCTTCTCAATTTCCTTTAATCTTTCGTTTTCTTGAAACTCCGACGTAATCTGACAGTCTTTGCAAATATTACGCTTTTCTCGATCATTCAAAATCTTTCTTTTGGAATTTTTCGAGTTGTACTCGTTTATTAATTGTGAATCTGTTACTCCAATATTATTATTAATTTCAGATTTATTTTCCTTATTCTTCGCTTCCCCTTCGCTTTCTTCTAATTTCTTACGATATGCATAATAAAGTTTCCATGTTTTTTCGTTGAATTTATTACGATCTGTGTCTATCTTATTCAAGCCTTCTATTCCGCCATTAATCAAATCTTTATTTTGAGATAAAATAAAACGATTATCAGATGTACCTAAATCATTCAGCTTTTCAACATAATCTTTATTCTTCATTGGCTCGTATGTTTCGGTTTCATTTTTTTCGACATTTTCCTTAAAATTAGTGTCATAGATCTCTCGTTTTTTACGGGTTTTAGGAAGTTCTTGATTTTTCAATAACATAAACTTTTTATTTATATTATTAATAGCAAAATGACTTTTTCTATTATTAAATCTGTTTACTTGATCGATTTTCTCAATTTTACTGCCATCAGTATCATTAAGAATATCTTCGCGCTGTATTTTCTCTTTTTGCTTAATAAATTTCGTAATTATACCGTGATTATTTCTAGAAATTTGATTTTGCTTTGTGAAATCACGCGACGATCTTTTCGCTAAATTCTTTAAATCAGCTTTTTCATATTTTTTATTAAAGACATAATTTGTACTCTCCGTCTTTTCATCTTCTGATAATTTATCAATTTTGAGAGGTTTCTCGAATGTATTTTCCATTTCGATGATCACAGTATTATTTGCATCTCTGTCTATATCTTTAAAAGAATCGTAGTAATTTTTTTCTTTTATCTGTTTATCCTTTTCGGCTGTTTTATCCTGAGATCCTTCGTTCGTCTCGGCAAATCTTCTCACTCGACTTTTTATCAATAGTTTTTTGTTTTTATTTGGATAATCGAGAGTCGCTTCTATAGTTTTCCTTGCTTGTTCCGGATCGTTAATTCTATAAATTTTCTTTCCTCGTGTCAATACGTAAGGATCACTATTATCTATACTCGAAGAGTCTATGTAATCGACATCAATGTCAACCCACCTTGGTTCCTCTACGTAGAATGGTTGTTGAACCTGCCAGTTTTGTTTACAATCGTTTTTCCTTGTTGAGCAATTTTCTTGTAGATCGTAACCGGCGTTCTTCTCTTCTTGTATGCCGATGGAGATTAAAACTCTTGGTTTGGCGCTGTCAAGTTTTGATTTATCGGAAGATAAATCAAACCGTGCCAAATCATGCCGTCTGTAAATAAATTATAATATTTTTATTTTAATATTTTATTTAGTGTACATACTATTTTCCAATTACAAATGGAACAATTTTGTAAATTAATTTCGTGAGTCGATCTTCTTTTATTGAAAATTTTATCATTCTCTGTTTTTAATATTACATTAATAAGAAATTTAAAATCACAAATCTATTATATTATTTAACAAATAAAGTATAATAAAAAATAGATAAAATTTTATTATTTTTCTACATTTATTAAATGTTTACAAACGTATACATGTTTATAAATGTATACATGAATGATACATTAGAAATTTAGATATGTGTATATTAAGTAGAATTTATATTTAAATTTTTAATACAAATTTTTAGTGCAGAGACGACTACCACTGTAAATTTTATTTGTTTAAAATTTTTTTATTAAACAAAATTTTTTTATTTGTTTAAAATTTTTTTTGTTACCTGATGATTGCCATTGGGGGCAGTTTTCTTGATTCGCTAATGAATCTTGTATCCGAAATTCGAGGAAACTGTCTGTTGTCGTCATAATTTAAGGATTCTTCTATTTTGAAAGGAATATCCGCCCGTGGTATTCGCTTTATTTTTCTATTCCATAGTTGCTTGTCACAAAGCCATGCCGTCTCTAAGAGACGACATGGGCTGTTTTCCATCTTAAAATACAAAATCAATTTCTTACGCACATTATTACTAAATTTTAATCAATTATAGCAAACGATGAACAATTCATTATTTTGGAAATGTTTTCTTATTATTTCTTATTATTTCTTATTATTTTCTTATTATATATTATTTTATTTAAGTTTATATGCAGCATTTCAGTACGAAGTTTCTATCTATTTTTCAAAAAACAATTATATTATTTATTAAAATAGTTACAAACAATATTTTACTTACCAAAATATTTTCGCATACCAATAGCAAAGTTGTGGCCAGCAATATTTTCTTCATTACTGAAAGATAAAAGATTTATGCGTAACTTACATTTCACTCTCTCTCAATACTATAATTTAGTACAATGTGCTAAATAAACACTACAATGTAAAAAAGCTGTGATAATTTTAGTTCCATCAGAATTTCCATATTGTAAATAAGAAAACATTATAAGATAATTATGATAAGAAAATATTTAACAGTTAATATCTAATTAATTTATGTAATTAATAAGATCATTATAAATCGACGTCAATCATATAAATAACTAATTTTTTATCCTATCTCATTAATTAATGTTTAGAAAAGTAGTATATAAAGTATTTTATTATAATTAGTTGATGAATTTTATAGATTTTAATATAAAAATTTCGGGACAAATAAATTCTAAAAAAATTGAAAAAATTGTTTGATGATGTTGGTTTTATTTATATAAAAAAAGTCGATTATCCTTCTCACATTTGACTATGATTGGTCAATTTCTTGTGGCTTAAGATTTAAACTTAAGTAATGGCTTATTATAGAAAATCTATTAAAAATTATTTTTAGTGTATCTATACAATATAATTTTGTACGAAATCACGGTTTAGTGAAGACCGCAAGATCGTGGAAAAATTCGCTGTTTTTAACTTATCAGCACTTCTTACCTGTTGCGGTGTTCAACTGTTAGCAAGTTTCTCCGACGTTCGCGAGTTCTTCGACTAGAATGGCAGTGGGTCGACTCTTGTCCGGATATTTATGTCCACTAGTCGAAACTCCCGAGGGCCATCCCAGTCGCGGTCGAAGGATTAGGCGGATTGCATGGGGAATTCGTTCACCTGACGCGGGGATACCCACGTCAATCTACTTCGCCAACGAGTGCAAACATTCTGACGTCCATGTCTGCTTGTCTCGCTATCGTAACGTTATGATACTTATTGTTAGAAAAATTATCAGTGCGAGAGAGGTAGCGTAGAAGCAGCGCGGCAGAAAAAAATGTCACTCTGTTTTCCGCCCTGAGACCCGCAGTAAACATAGATATCGCCATGGTTGCACAAGGATTGAATGCCAAGTTGCGACGGTGAATTTCAAGTTGATTAAACGTTTTCTCAGACTGTATAGACTAAATCAACATGGGACTCAGAATTTGATAATTTGATAAATAATTATATTACAAATGTAGGAGAAATGATTGTGACTTTTTCGTAGATTGCTTTTTATTTTTTAATTTATTTTAGCTGGAAAATTCCCTTGTTATTTGAAATTGTAGGATTTTTATTAGCTATAATTTCATTATAATTTCTAAAACTTGTGCGTGATTTTTAGGTAAAAGGAACGGAGTTAGTGTGAGCACAAACTAAGAAATTATCAAAAATGGTAAGAGAAAGAATGTTATGACGCAAGAAAAAATTATTTTATGTTTTTGTCATATTTTAAATAAATTAAATATTTTAAAAATAAATTTGTTAAAAGTATCTGTTATACACAGTAAAAAAGAAAATGTTAATTTTAACATTTTTTACATGTCCCAGGAGATCCACTCTAAATTTTAAGTTAAAGTAACTCATTCGTCTTGTGTTATTTATTAACGAACTAGTAATGTTAAATAATTGACGCAATACTTTACATTTATATTTGTTATTTTG